AAAAAAAAAAAAAAAAAAAAATTAGCCAGTCATGGGGGTATGCACCTGTGGTTCGAGCTACTTGGGAGGCTGAGGCAGAAAGATCACCTGAGCCCAGCAGGTCGAGACTGTGGTAGTAGTGAGTATGTCACTGCACTCCAGCCTGGGCAACAGAGTGAGACTCTGATTTTTAAAAAATAATAAATAAGCTGGGCTCGGTGGCTCAGTCTGTAATCCCGTGCTTTGGGAGGCTGAAGTGAGTGGACTGCCTGAGCCCGCGGGTTCAAGACCCGCCTGGGCAAATTGGCGACACCTCATCTCTACAATAAATCAAAAAATTAGCCGGGCATGATAGCACGCGCCTGTAGTTCCAGCTACTTGGAAGGCTGAGGTGGAAGGATCGCTGGAGCCCAGCAGGTAGAGGATGTGGTGGCCGGGAGCGTGCCACTGCACTCCAGTCTGGGTGACAGAGTGAGACTCCAACTAAAAAATAAATAAATAATAATAATAATTAATTAATTAATTAATTAAAAGTCACTCTATCAGCTCCTCGGGTCAGGTATTCTTCCCTGAGACAGTAAGAATCCTAACCCCGAAGACCAACCCATACATAACATGAGAGTGCAGGATCAAAGACCTTCACATGCAGTAGCACTGCTATTGTGCCAGGACACTAAAATATGGACCCAAAATGACCTAGAAGCACACATTTTCACACGACCTTCAGGTTTAGGCCTCTCCTATCTTTTTAAACAGAAGCCCTCCCTCCACTTGATACCCTTTCCAACAACAGCTACCATGATTTCCTTGTGCTGAATGGTCAGGTTTTCTTTCTTTTTCTTTTAAGAGATAAGGTCTCACTATGTTAACTAGGCTGGACTGGAACTCCTGAGCTCAAGCGATTCTCCCACATCAGGCTCCCAAGAAGCGAGGGCTACAAGTGTGTACCACCATGCTTGATGGTCAGATTCTTTTTTTTTTTTTTTTGAGTTAGAGTCTCACTCTGTCGCCCAGACTGGAGTGCAGTAGCCGCTCCTGGCCACTGCAGCCTTGACCTGCTGGGCTCCAGCGATCCTTCCGCCTCAGCCTTCCAAGTAGCTGGAACTACAGGCGTGCTACCACGCCCGGCTAATTTTTT